CACAAACTAGGCTAGGTTTTCAAGGTTTTATATTTCTTTATTCTTTTTGAATTGATACTGCCCTCTAGACTGGCTGCTCAAAACATCGGTCTATTCCTCAAGGGGGCCTTGTAAAATATTCTTTTTCCAAATTTTATTTGATAGCCATGTTTGGCGCATGTGGGCCACCATGTACAAGAAAATTTGGGTGATTTGGAGGTGGTGGAAAAAATCACCTATGTTCAAAAACTGGCTTAAGTTAGACCAAATGGCCCATCCGGAATGCGTTGATTTTGTCGACCACCTTCAAATCACCTCAACTCTTGCAAACATGACCTCTTCCACAAACAAAGCTAGGTTTCCAAGATTTTATATTTTCTATTTTTTTTGAATTTATACTGCCCTATAGACTTACTGGTCCAAACATCGGTCTACACCTCAAGGGGGCATTGTAAAATTTATTTTTCCAAATCTATCTTTCATAGCCATGTTTGGCACATGTCGGTCACCATTTAAAAGAAAATTTGTGTGATTAGGGGGTGGTGCAAAAAATCACCATGTAAGCTAGACCAAATGGTCCCTCCAGAAGGCGGTGATTGTAGCGACCACCTCCAAAATTTCCACTTTTTAAAATATATCAGAAATGGAAGATTCAATCTTGCTAACTTATGAATTGACAAAAAAATATTTTCATGATTTTCTAATTCTTATAATATATTTCAAATGGATTATTCAATCATGCTCACTTATGAACATTGACAAAAACAAATTTCAAAATTTTCTAATTTTAAAAATATATTAGAAATGGAATATTCAATCATGCTCACTTATGGACATTGACAAAAAAGGATTTTCAACATTTTCTAATTCTAAAAATATATTTGAAATGGAATATTCAATCATGCTAACTTATGAACATTGACAATAAAGGATTGTCAACATTTTCCAATTTTTTATATTATATTTGAAGTGGAATATTCAATCATGCTAACTTAAGAACATTGACAAAAAATGATTTTCAGCATTTTCTAAATTTAATAATATATTTGTAATGGAAGATTCGATCATGCTAACTTATTAAAACCTCAAGTCAATGTTTTTTAGTATCTATCCTATGTAGATAAGGCTGGTTCTTTGCACACACCATTACCAAGCACATGTCCACTGTATGCAGCATGTCTCATCAGTGAAGCAACATTAAAGCACCTACTGCGATCATTGTAGCATCAGAATATAGACACTGCAACAAAGCATAGCTGACCTGCTTCTAGACAGTTGATATACTTCAGAGACATACTAGAATAATTAAGTCTCTGCCATAATTAAGAGTCTGCCATAGTACTTAATAGTCTGCCATACTACTTAACAGTTCACAAACACTTCCACCTTCCAGATTCACAGTTTACAAACATACGAGCGCAAAAGTTAAACATCATCAACTATACGACTAACAATGATAAGTTCCACTACCAGCTTCACAGATGGTGACTAGATGGGACCCATAGCCTTCAGGAGGGCTGCATGCTCTGCCCTGATCTTCACGTCGCTCCCACTCCTGGTTAAACCGCGTGCATGTGCCATAAGGTGCTCATACAGCCCATCCTTGGGAATTGGCTTAGTGGTGCAGTATGGGCACCTGAACTTGCCCCACTTGTAGTACGCCGCCTTCCCCTTCTCCCTGATCTTGTTGGCTTCATGCTCAATGAAGGACCTGTGGTTCCACTCTTCCACCTCATCTCTAGAGTTGTACTGCACATACAAAAGATTTGCATAAATACATAATTCCCAAGTAATGTAATTAACAAACATCAGATAATTGCCATTTACTGGAATGTAATGAACAAACAAACATAATATCCCATTTACAGCTACTTAATGCACAAACAACTAAATAGTTTCATTTAGAAGAATTTAATGGACAAATAACTGAATAGTTCCTTTATATGCATTCATATATGGTTTCATGAAAAAACATCACACATATCCAATTTACAGCTAAGTAATGCACAAACATCAGATAATTGCCATTTACTGGAATGTAATGAACAAACAAACATAATATCCCATTTACAGCTACTTAATGCACAAACAACTAAATAGTTCCATTTAGAAGAATTTAATGGACAAATAACTGAATAGTTCATTTATATGCATTCATATATGGTTTCATGAAAAAACATCACACATATCCCATTTACAGCTAAGTAATGCACAAACATCAGATAATTGCCATTTACTGGAATGTAATGAACAAACAAACATAATATCCCATTTACAACTACTTAATGCACAAACAACTAAATAGTTCCATTTAGAAGAATTTAATGGACAAATAACTGAATAGTTCATTTATATGCATTCATATATGGTTTCATGAAAAAACATCACACATATCCCATTTACAGCTAAGTAATGCACAAACATCACAACTTTCAGAGCAATTAATTGAAAGTATAACAAAACTTTCCATTTTAGAATAATTCAATGGACAAACAACACAATATTTCCATTTATGAGCATTCAGATATGATTTCATGGTCAAAGACTACAAATATGCCATTTAGAGCTAATTAATGACCAAACAACACAACTTTATGATAGAAGTGAATAAACTACATAACATTCCAATTTAGAGGCATTCATATAGGGCATCATCAACAAACAACGTCTCACACAGATTAATAAACAGACATAAAACAGCTTGTGGTTACCTCCAAGTCGTCGTCAGAATCAGACGGGTCGTCGAACCCAGCGATGTCCAGCTTCCTCTTGTTGCTAGCACCTTTCTCATTGACCTAAAATGATACTTTGACCAATAAGTAATTAATTCATTTATACTACTAACTACATAACACAGTATGCAAAGGTCAAGCAATCTGCAATGTGCTTCTAATAACCTAAAATGATACTTTGACCTAAAATTAAACTATATCAGTGACGCATTGTGGTTGACAACAAGTAATTGCATTGACTTCATCTGGCTCATCTAATGTACATAGTGGTGCATCAGCTGCCCTATTCTCTCAACCGTATATTGGATGGTATATTGTAATGCCATGAGCTTCAGGAAAGAAAATATTTGTGCAATTTTTGGTGCTAGGTGTGAAACTATTTCATATGACATACATGCATGGAGATAGGCAACATAAATTTAATATGACTTGGTCATCTGGCATAGTTGCATGTCTACCAAACCTACTTATGGTTTACTTTATAACTACAGCAATCCTACAGATCAAAAATAAACCTACCTACAATTTGATTTTATAGATAATGAAGTGAAGCTCCTAACTATTTTAAAATTGCGCACTAGTTAAACATACTGTGTTCATTTTAACAATTAATTGATACACTTCTGTCACAAAAAGTAGGATTTAAACCTCATTTCTACAATATCAACTTTAATAGATACACTGGGTAGCTGCTCAGCCCCTGTCGTGGCCCACTGAGTGAATATGCACAACAAATCTAACAAAATATACAACACAGAACATAAACTAGGCACATGCGGCAATCCAGATTCTAATATAAATTAACTAACTCTCATTATGATGTCTCTAGCATTCAATCACGAATCAGCTTGAAAAAACCCTAACTCTGAAATGAGGTTCACCATTCAATCAAAAAGCCCTAACAAGCAGAAGGGGTGCCGCAATCAATCACAAATCTTCTATAAAAAACCCCATCTACTAAATCTTCTGCTTATCTGCTACAAGTATGAAAAGAGGGGAACGAGAAGCATTACCACATCCACCACCTGCCTTCCGCTCGCCTCCGCACCTACATCCAGTGAGCCGCCAGACGCCGTCACCACCAGGTCTGCCACGACGGAGTCCGAGCCCACCACCCCCTGCGCCACCAGATCCGCCGCCGCAGGGACCGATCCAGCGACTGCGGGTGCAGCATCTCCCGCACCGCCGACGGCGGCAACTTCTTGGACGGCATCTGTGGCGGTCTCCGCACCCTCGACCACATCTCCGTGCGCAGCAACGGCAGCCCCACGACCTTGCTCCATTGAAGCCTGAGAGAACCCGCCGGAGAGAGGGAGGCGGTGGGGTTGAGCAAGTAGGTGCGGTGGCGGGGCGATGGAGACGAGGGGGAGACGATGCGGCAAGGATAGAGGGACTGAGCCGATTTGGGGGTAAATGGTGGGGGCGATGCGGCCGGTGGTGGTTCCCCTCCCTCTTTATAGGATGTGACGTTTTTGGAAGTTTTCATGTGACGCGTGGCCGCGTGGCTAGCCCACGACCGCCGCCGCCCACGCCCACGACCGCAGCACGTGACAAGGGAAAACGAATCACCCACGTACAATACATGTATACCCTCAGTGTACAAAAGTAATCGGGCCGGTGCGGGCTTGTACAGGGCTGTACGCGCGCCGGTGCGGGCTTCTACAGGGCTGTACGCGCGCTCTCCTCCGGCATAAAAGGACGATCGTGCCCCTCTTCACGAAGCTTTTTTGACACATCTCAGCCGTCCTTGTGTTTCTCCCCCTCGCGTTCAACCCGGGGGGGAGCACCGGAGCAGAAACGTGCGGGAGGCGGTTGTGGATCACCAGCGGGCTTGCGACCGTACGCCCCTTCGGGACATCGTACACGTTGCCCTCCCTTGTCCGCACGGTGAAGCTCCGGCGCGCATGGCGCAACAACATCATCGCTGGAGGGTGGAGACGCAGAACCTCCTTGACGCAACGGTGGAGGGTGTCCATCTCCTGCAGGACCTCGTAGTCCACGCGGTCCCCGTGTCGCGCCACGATCTGCTCCTGCTCCTGGACGGCAGCATAAAGCTTCTTGTTGTTGGCGCGCGAGAGGAGGCACGCTCCGGTCTACGTGCCCGTGCTGGAGCTTGTGTGCTGCCCCGCAAACAACGCGGAGACCAACATTCCGACCACCTCCGTCTCCGTCGTGGCGCGGCCGTCTTTGTACCTGGAATCGATCAGGCACTGTAGCATGTTGTCGACGACGTCTCGGCCACCGTCAAGGTAGCTTGCTTTGCGGGAGCTGACCATGTCGGAGAATATCTCGCCAAGCCTAGCGCGCGCCCTGTCGCGTCTGCGATGTTCTGGGATTGGCAGGTGCGGGAATAGGATGGTGATGAGGCGCATGCCGTCGTTGAGTTCACGGAGGTGTGTGGCCACCTCGACCAGCATCTTCGCCCTGACCTCCTCCCCGAACAAGCACCGGCTGGCCACGAGCCTGACGAGGTGCTCTAGCTCCTGCTTCAAGTCAACCGTGCCGGACTGTCCCATCTCGCAAAATACGCCTGCATATATACGTTACATATACAAGTAGACATATGTATGTTAGCAATAGTAACACAAAAAAAGCCACGCAACTTAAAAGATGATATGCCGGCTCAGTCTTTCGAAGGTACTCATAGAGGTAGGGTGTGCGTGTGTGCTTTCATAGGGATGAGTGTATGCATGAGTGCTTGTGTCTGTACTGATGTTAAAAAACTGATTAAATATAACATCTTATTATTGATTACCTCGACTTCACAAACCATGAGGCGGGCGTAGGTCCTGAGCTTGGCCGGCTTCATTGCATCGCCGAAGAAGCGGAACTGCTCGCGCCGAGTGGCGAAATCCACGTCAAAGGCGACGCCGGGGCCGAAGGTCGGAGTGGTGAACTGTGAGACCTCGTCCTGGCTGATCTCCGAGTCCAGCCCTTGGTAGAAATGGCTCGACACATCTGGCCCAACCAGGAAGGTCACCTTGAGATGCAATAGTCTCATTGTGAAAACGCCCCCCAACTCTGCGTGGGCATCGCGCATCACTTGTAGCGGGCCCTTGATGAGAAGCGCCGGGAGGATCCCAAGAAGGGGACCCCTACGGTCACGGGCGGTGGAGGGGGTGATCGTTTTGTTGTTCGTGAGAACGTTGCTCGGAGTCGTGCCATCATGATCGACACGACGGTGACAAAAACAGGAATAAATGCTAGCAAAAAGACTCTGGGCAATTCCATATTTGCACTCCAGATGCGATGGGGGTAATACTGTATAAGAACATGGTAAAACGAGTCAGTAGCTGAGTTATGACTTGTGAGTACTCGAGACACTCATCAATAATTAATTAAGTGTGTGTGATTTGCTTTTTGGAGCACATTTGATTACACTTTTATGTTTGCTATTCCAAAATGAATATTTATACTTACATAGAGTTTATAGGGTACTATTCATTTGTTATTAGCACTCGTGGCACCATACTTTCTGCAATACCTACATGAAGTACTTCCAGAAATATGATCCAATTTTCCTGATGGGCTCAGGCCTCCAACATGGGAGAACGTAAATTATGCTGCTGGGTTTTTATGCTTCCAAATAAAATATTACTGTAACTCAGAATGTATGTTACCCGTAGCTCAACTTTGTCTCAAGTGGGGCCACCGGGTGGCGCCCCAACCACTAGCTGGAAAGCAAAGTGAACTAGTTGCTAAAGAGGCATAGACAAGCCAAAATAATTGCAGCCATTCAAACTAGCAGCAAAGTTTTGGTCTTTGTTAGAAGGGAAGAGAGGGATTTGGTGGAATAGTCTGTTGTATGCTTGAGCCTCGTGGGCATATATATAGGAGTACATGATCATCTTGGAGTACAAGGCAAGGTAGAATAATATCCTACGCTATCCTAGCTTTCCTATACAATCACGTTACTCAACATCCCCCCGCAGTCACAACGGTAGCGACGCAAGACGGTGAGACTAGAGAAG